GAGCTTTTGTTTATTTGGGAGAGCCTTTCTTTAATTCAAAGAAAAGCATTGGCAGAAGTCTGATATGTAAACTGACGAGAGTGGAGATGCTGGCAGTGGGTGGCAGAGCCTCCCACTCATTGTTCCTCATCCCCTATTACCCTTTGGAACCTTATATTTGAAAACCACTAGAATGATGTCAAAAGACGAACATCATAAACGGACATGCAGATGTCAATCTTGGGTCATACTGACTAGCTACTATGGGCTTTAATTTTCTCATCTGTGAAAGTGAGGTCAGCGATATCTATCTTAGAAGATTGCTGTGAATATTAATGAAGACGTTTAAAATGTCCAGCACACTATCAAGCACAAATGGCCTTCAATAAATGTGAGCTCCCTGTTTATATAGTGGTACCCCCTTATCCACCTTTTTTTCTTTCTGAGGTTTCAGTTACTACGGTCAACCGAGGTCCAAACATATTAAATGGAAAATTCCAGAAATAAAAAAATTTATAAGTTTTAATTGCACACCTTTCTGAGTAGCATGATGAAATCTCAAGCCATTCCACTCCATTCCTCCTGGGATGTGAATCATCCCTTGTCCAGTGTATCCCTGCCCATTAGTCACTTAGTAGCCATATCAATTGTCATATTGGTTATCAGAGAGAGAGGAAGAGAAAGATACCACATTCACATAACTTTTATTATAGTATATTATTATAATTGTTCTATTTTATTATTAGTTATTGCTGTTATTCTCTTGCTGTCTAATTTGTACATTAAACTTTATCATAAGTATGTATGTATAGGAAAAAACATAGTATACATAGGGTTCAGTACTATTCGTGGTTTCAGGCATCCACTGGGGGGTCTGGGAACATCTTGCCCTCAGATAAAGGCGGGGGGGGGGGCGGGACTGCTATATAAATAATTGTCCCTGTGCTCCTGGTGAAATTCCTGGTGAAACTCCTGGTGAAGGTTTGAGATCATGATCCCTGGGGCCACATCGAGAAAAAAAGCCTGAAAGGGAATGGCATTAATGCTCTGACTACAGCCAGAGTCCACACGGGAAGCTAAGGACTAAACCAGGACCCTTGGATGCCAGAATAGACTTGGACTTTTCCCACCACCTGCAAAGGAGCAGCTACTGACACCATTGGACTCACTCAGGCCAATGCCCTGGCTGCCTCTATGGAGAGACTGTCAAATTTGCTCTGCAGAAGAGCTAACCAAATGGGTTAAGGACAAAAAATTAAGTGATTTTGCCACCATAAAAATGATCTATTTAACGAGAATATAAGCAAATCCAGGAAGCTAAGGCAATTATAGACCAATTAATCTAGAGAGCAATCATGGGGACTTCATCTTCTCAAATCTGCACACCACTTTGATATGATTTGAAAATATTTTTCTAGAAAGTGGCATCTAGCTGTTCTCTTCCTAATTGACTGTTTATCTCAAGTTTCATTGTCCTTCCTCTTTCCAAGCTACAGACCATATTCAGAACAAAGCATCTTAGGTTGTTGCTACATAATGTTTTCATTATTGATATTCACCAAATCAAGAGCAAGGAGTGGGAGGTTCGGACTAGTTTGCTTTGTGCAAATTTCTAGGGCTGTGTTAAGGAAGAGGCAAATCGTTGAATGGCCTACACAAATAGTTGTATGACCCATCATTCTAAGGAGAAATGTCTTTGGGATATGACAAAGAAAGACGATGATAACAACATAGGGAAAGCTTTCTTAAGAAATTTCTACTAAACTTTCATTCATCGTAAAGTCACTCTCTTCTCTTCCATGGTGCTTCCTCCCCAGGGTTAGCTCACATCCAGTTCCCAGTCTTTGTCAAAAGTCCAAAGTTGTAGGTGGCCCTCAAAGAATGATATGTAAGTAGGGAGGGTTATCAACATACCTAGGGAAAATATTTCTTAAGGTATAAGATTGGAAGCAGCATGAGTTGCTTCACAAATAGTTGTAAATGTGGTCTTTTCTGTTATGATTTCAATTAACTGCAATGACCTTTATAGGCCATGGGCCAAGGGCTCCCCTTTAGGGATCTTTCCTTCTCTGGAACTTCTGACACAGTCCACGAGGGGTGGGGTGGGAGTTAGAAGACTTGAGCACAAATGGTCATTATCTTGGCAACACTCAACTTCACTGAGTCTCAGCTTCCCTATCTGCAAAGTGAGCAAATTAGTCAAGAAGGTCTCTAAAATATCTTCTAGCTCTAAAATTTTATCTAAAATATAAAGTTAAAATCAAAAGCCATTTGTGGGTCTGAAATTCTTGGTGCTGCAGATTTTGAAGGACCGAGTTGATATCTGTTGAGTGAATGAATGTTGTCTGAATTTCCAGGAAGGGTACACAGCAAACAAAAACTAAACTCGGTGATTTGAAATCTCCTACTTCTTATCTGTAGGTGGGTCTTGAATAAATAACATGAGAAAAACAAGTAACCGATAAACTAGGTGCATTTGTTCTTCAAATCCACCAGATTCAGGGCCTCAAAATTTGGACAAAGTCATTTTTCCAACGTTGCCTTATTGTTTTCTGTTCAGCTTCACTGGCACGTAGACCGTGCCTGGCTGTGCTGAAAAAAATCATGGTGAAACAGTAACCTCTTCGTAACTGGAAACTTATTTGATTATCACACATTTCCTATTACTTTTCAAATGGGCAGAATTCATGCATTCAGTCAGCTTCTCCACTGCAGAGGGAGGGAAATGGAGCCTCTGACTGTTGTTCCCCCTTGGCTTCTGTTCTGAGACTAAAGTCCTAAACATAAAGTTGCTGACGTCTGTTATTTATTAAACCAGGCCCTGGGCGTGAATCACCTGAGCTACCGGGGTAAATCTGCGTTATTTTTCAAACAGTGCAAGGATCCTGTAACGTGGCCAACTTTAGGAACTGTGAGGCAGGGAAAGCCAGTTCCCATTAGCAGGCCTGCTTGTCCATAAGGGCCCCTCAACCTGCAGAGAAATACAACTTCACATAGACTTTTAACAGGTCTAGCCTGCTGGGAAAACCCAGTAATATGCTTTCAAAGGCCTGCTCCAGCCCACTGGTCTCTCTCCTCCCTAGCTCTCACTTCTTCCACCAAAAGGAGGTGCTGGATGAGGACAGTGAACATAGCCCCCTCTTTGAAATTCTTACCTCATAAGGTGTCTCCCAATGACCTGTTCACAATTTCTATGGTTGGTGATTTGGCAAAGCAGTTGACTCCGTTCTCTGATTGAAGATTCACAATATTACCTTATTAATGACCCTAAGAGGTTTAAAACAACAGGGGGTAAGGTTAAAGGGAGTGGGAGAAAGAGAGCAAGGGAGAGAGAGAAACCTATTGTATTCATTTCGCCCTGCATTAAAACAAACAAACAAAAAAACTTATTTAGCCACCGAACTTCTTTTTAGTATAAAACTTATTAAGTCTTGCTGAGAGTTCTGCAAATGTTCCTATTTGGGAAATGCCAAATGATCACAGAAATTATCGTAATTCTGAAAATTCTATTTTCATATGTTCTAAAGCACAATTCTGACTGTATCCCTCCCTCACCCCAAAATCCCCTCTGGTTCCCCCCTGCCTTTAAAGGCCAAATTCCTTAGCATGGCATTCAAGACCTACCAGAGTCTGGCCTTAACTTACCTTTCCAGTCTGAGTTCCCTTCCTGCTATTTAGGAGTCTCTGCCCCTCCAAACCGGGCTTCCCCTGCTCCGTCTTCACATGTCTGTCGATTTCCCATCTCTGTGCCTCTGTTCATCCTACTGGATCCAGTTGGGACATCTTTTTCAGTCTTTGCACATACAAATGCAACACACTTTAAATACTCAGTTCAAATAATCTCTACCATGGTGATCTCTAACTTATATTTAGAGCTCGTATTTAGGGCTCTTATTCTAGACAAGGTACCGGGCTTCTTGTATAGAAGCATTCTGTACCTTCCCCTATGCTCCTTGAAAAAATGCCTTTATACAGGGTTACCTGTCCCCTGGTTCCTTACACATAATAGGTGCTTTTGAAAGAATAATCTGAAGGATAAATAGCTGATGTGATTCGCCAGCAAACACTTCCAGGACAGAAAGAACAATGGTCTCAGGATGAGAGGCCTGTTCTGATTCTGCCATCGGCATATGGGGACTCAGGCCATTGACTTCTCTGCCTGAGAGCTCAGCGTGCTCAGCTTTATAAAGACAGAGAAAGGCTGGCAGAGCCTCAGGCCTTCCAGAGCTAAATATTCTGAGATTCTCTTGATTTATAATCCACTTTACAAGGCATTTGAGACAGTCTTACAGAATTAAGAATAGAGTAAAAGAGAACAATTAATGACCCCCCCCCCCCAAAAAAAATCCAGACTATAGGTCTATTTGAATTTTAATACAGGAAAAACAATCCAAAAGAACGAATCTCTAACATTAGGGCCTTAAGGCTCAGGAAGGGACTAAGAGAAAGATATTTTTTAAATCAGAAAATTATCCCGAGTTCTCAAAACTGTCTACATAAATGGCTATTACTTTATGGGGCACACCTGATCTTAAATATATATATTTACATCTCATCTCTGCAGAAAATACTTACATTAAAAAATACCTAACAACTGAAAAATCTTATTTCTCTAAAGCAGTGATTATCAAAATGTGCTTTCCAAATTAGATGCACTTACGACCCTCCTTAGAAACACAGATTCTCAGTCTCCATCCCAACCCTCTTGCCTCAGAAACTCTGAGGATGAAACCAGGAATCCCTGTTTTAACAAGGCTTTTAGATGATGCTGATATACAACAAAGTTAGTGCAGAATTATATTTTAAGCTAAATATATTTAATATCACCTGTGTCTATAAATTCATTTTTCAAAGATACAAAAATGTGTGGTTCTCTTTTCAGTCTAGTCTATTATCACTACTGTACAACCCTCTCCAAAATGGAGTGATAGCAAATATATTTGGTCTCTTACCTTTGACTTCTGTCAGTTCCACTGCTCAAGCATTCATGCATTCATTAAAATCTGTCCCATCTCTTACAGCTGATCAAGCAGATCCCTGCAAATTCTTGGCCTGTGGTGAATTTGCCCAGTGTGTAAAGAATGAGTGGACCGAGGAAGCAGAGTGTCGTTGCAGACCGGGGTATGAAAGCCAGGGGCACCTGGACCACCAGGACCTGGGCCTCTGTGCTCCTGGAGAGGGATGTGAGGTCCAGGGAAATGGAGCCCTGTGCAGGTAGGTTGAGCATACTAAGTTTAGAGACCCAAGAGTTTGTTATTTGGAATTCTGAGAAACCTCTCTTTAGAATGAATTCTTACGGTCCTTTGATGATCAAACCCATGATGATCAAACTTTAGTGAGCATAGACTCTTCCTGGAGGAGGGCCTGTTGAAACACACATGGCTGGGCTCTGCTAGGCTCTGTTTCTGATTCAATAGGTCTGGGGAGGGCACAGGTAAGGCTGATGCTGCTGGTCCAACGACAGCTCTTGGAGACCATTGCTCTAAATCTTTCTACAATATTTCCTTAAGACCAATAAGGGAAGAAAAAACAGCCTGTGTCAGCTTTAAGACTTTAAGACAGAATACCACATGGTCTACTACCTTAACTGGTATGTGTGTGTGTGTAATACTCATTTTTTTTTCCATTTACAAACATGATAGCTTTCATCATAAGAAAACTAGAAAACAGAAAATTATGAGAATTAAAACAAAAGTCATGTGTAATTCACCACATTAACTGCTATTGTCTTTTGGTGTACATGTTTATGTAGAATGTTCATATAGAATTTTCTAAAGCAAAGTGGCATCAGCCTGGCTTCTTATTTTGTAGTCAGCTTTTTGACATTCCCCCCATATCACTAAATATTTTCTGTAGCATCATATTTGATGATTACATAGTAGCCCATTCAATAGATGTGCTATGATATGTTGAATCAACCCTTTATTTCCAACAGAAAGGTTAAGAGAAGCTCTTTGGAAGAAGGAGGAGAAGGTGAGGTTTAACTGGCCTTCTGTTCATGACCCAGACTTTCGGGGGCAGGTGGCCTTATGAACAAACAGTGAATACAAAGATTCCTAATTCTTCTACAAGTCTTGTGACACCCCAATGAAATCCACACTGTAGACTTTTCCCTCACAAGGCTTCCGTGTGAGCCTGTCCCGCCTTCACCAGTCCTGAGCTTCCAGTCATACCTGAACATCTCCTCAGTATTGATTACCTCAGACCTGTGTCTTTATTAGAGCATCCCACTTTGTATTGTATATTAGTGTCCTCTTATTCATTCTAGTGACCACAGTCCCTAATTGCCCATCAGGGGGACTTGTGGTGATCTGCTTCCACACTTAATCAATAAGAAACAAGAGACATTTAACCTTTTTCTGGATGAAACATACCCAGTTCCTTTAAAGTATCAATGCTTTAAAGACAACTATCCAATAGTGGTTAAGAAGCAATATTCTGGAGTCAGACAAAGTGTGATTAAAATTTAGGCTTAGCAGTTTACTGATCAAATGACCTTAGAGAAATTCCTTAACTTCTCTAAACCCCAATTTCTTCATTGTATAATGAAACTAATAAAACCCACCTGCTGGGTTGCTGCAAGGAGTATATAAAATTATGTTTATAAAGTATTTTTATGAAGAACATAAAGTACAGAGTATCCCTTCAGGTAAGTGAGAATTATGATGATGCTATCGATTTTTTCCAAGTTAATCCCAATTAAAATCCCAACAAGACTCTTTAGGAATTTGACACCCCGGTTCTAAAGCTCCTCTAGAAATAAAAACGTTGCAATGCAATGATGGGAAGTTGCTCTGTAAGATAGCAGTACATACGATAAAAATATTTATAACACTAAGATAGACACAAAGATAGATCAACAGAACAAATATAAGCCCTAAATAAAATCTTACATATTAGGGAGTTTATTTTAACAAGCATTTCAAATCAGTAAGGAAAGTATGGACTGGTCAATATGGTTAGAGTGCAATTGGCCTTCCATTTAGAAAAAAATAAAAGTGTCTTACTATACACAAATCAATTCTATATCGAAGATTCAAACTTAAAATCAAAACTATGAAAGTATGAGAAAAAATATTTTTAAAAATATTTTTATAATCTTGGGCTGAAAAAAACCTTCCTTAATTAAGACACCAATCCCAGAAGACAGTAAAGAGAGAACTTCTATAAAGGAAAAAGCACCGTAAATAAAATTAACATAAATGACAAGGTAGAAGAAAAATATTTATGAACTATCTTATATCTTAAAGGATAAACATCGTAATAATGAGTTTCTACACATCAATAAGATAAACATCCTAATACTAAAATGAGCAAAGAAAATACAGAGGTGCAATTCAGAGAAGAAATCCAAATGACCAATAAAACATAGGAAAAGATGCTCAATCTCCCTATGTATGACCAGGGAAGTCAAAGACAATAAGGAGCTATAATTTATAATTTATAATTGGCAAGAAAGAGGTGGATAATATCCAATGTGGGTAACATGAGGGAAAGCTAGTTCTATCAAGCACTGCTAGTGGGTGTGTAAATTGGAAAAATCTCTTTTCAATATGTATAAAACTTTCAATTTGACTCAGATATTCTACTTTTAAACAATTATTCCTACAAAATAGTTGCACTTGTGCACTAAGATAGCTGTATAAAAATATTCACAGCATCATTGCTTTGAATAGGGAAACAATTGTACAGCCCTGTTGTATGGGGGAAATAGTTAAATCATCCATAGTATGGCATATTAGTCACTGTGGAACATAGCAGTTAAAAGCAATAATATAGCTCTGCTAGAGCTGCCGTATGAAAAAACTAAGACATTTCATGAAATGGGAAAAGTAAATTGCAGGATAGTAGATCCTCTTGATGTAATAAATTAATAATGAAATTATATAATTTAAGCATATTGGGTTCAACCACATGGCATTGCTATTTTGTCAGCAACAAATCATCAAATACTGACAAATATGTAAGTAAAAGCATAGCAAATATATGGAATAAAAGATACACTCAGCTATCTTCCCAATTAGCAGAAAGAGGGGAGGGGGAGGAATAAGGGTGAACTAGCGAGGCCCAAGTAAGATAAGTTAGGAGAAGGGGGTTGCATGAGGCTTTTATGAACAACAGTGTATTCAGTTTTTATATTAATCAGCCCTGTTTGCTATTTCAGATGGCAGTACAATTTGTAATTCTGAACATCCCTCTTTCTTGAGTACGAAATATCACTTCTTTATGTTATTAAATTTATTAGGGTGACATTGGTTAACATCAGTTTAATGCTAACTTGTCAGAAGCGAGATCAATAGAGCAAGGCACAGGCTGATCTGGAAGTAAACAGCTCTTAAGACAGTTTGCAGAGCTCTGTTACCCCACTTGTGCCTGCCTCTGGGGGATAATATAGACTTTGGTGTTCAAGTACACAGGAATGAGATGTTCCTTACACCAATTCAATCCATCAAACATTATTGAGCACCCATGTGCTAGTCATTATGGTATATGCTGGGCAATAGGTAAGAAGGGAGGGAGGAAGCAGGGGAAGAAGGACGGAAGAAGGAAGATAGAAAAGAAAGAGGAAAGAGAGTAAGGTACTCGATTTCTTTGGAAGAACAAAGAAAAATCCCCACACCGCCTTAAGTCTGCCCTTTCCAACTCCTTGATTAAAGATTCCTTTAAAAATATTAAATGTTAAACCCTGATAACCTCAGCATGAGAACAACCCCCACCACCCCCATGAGCTGCGTCAGGACTCAGTGGAGAAGCCTGGCCACAGTGGTGCTGAGTCCCTCCTGAATCCCCACCACCTGCCCCACTCCTGTCAGTTGTTTCTGTTCCTCACAAGATGCCATCATTTGTGTGACTCTGACAATTTACTTTTGTGAAGGTAAGAGGACAAATTAAGACCGAATCAACCATAGATTAAGACAGTAATTAAGATTAGAGGCTTTAAAGTTAGATCCAAGTTCAAATTTGAGCTCTACTGCTAATTAGTTGCGAACTTGAGCAGCGTTTTCTTCCATTTAAGCCTCAAATTTCCCATCTACATAATGGGGATAATAGGAATAAATTCATTAGCTTAGGTGAGGAATAAATAAGATGCTCCTCAGTGTAAACTCAGCTGCTAGCATTACTAAAGTTGTTCAATAATTATAAACAAAGGGCAGCTCTGTAAGGAAAAACTGAGATTCCCTGCCTGGCACTTAAACCTAAACTCTGAAGCAAATGAGTTGAGGACACCCAGTGTTTTAACTTTGAAAGCAGCGTTCTCTAAAGAATTGTAAGCTTGGCTGCATTTCCGTTACTCCACCTGAAAGTGAAGAAAGAGATAGGAAAATTATATTAAGAGCAACTGCCTTTCTGAGATGAGTCCGTTGACACACAACAAGCATTTTCAAGTGGTATGGTTCTGTCATTCTCCTGCCAAGTCATTGTCATTCATTATATTTTCACCTTTATTTTTCCCCTATTTCCTTCTTCCATTTGATATTTATGAATAAACCCCATACATTTTTCATTTCCCTCAATTTTAGGTATTCTGTACATAGATTCAGTTATACTAGGAACTAACTTGGCAAAATTCTCCCAAGATTAAACAAAATTTTCATTTTCAAAGGTCTCCTTTTTAGCTTAATGAGTTTTATTAATCACAATTACCATTTTATATACACAGAAAATGCAAATCTAGATCTAATAGGGTAAATTATTTATGACTTTTCCTCTTCAGATCTAAAAAATTTCATTTTGTCCTTTAATAGGCCTAATTTTTCTGTGACATTATTTATAATAATGAAAATTGTTTCCAATTATAGAAGCCAGATTAAGTAAATGATGGTAGAAAATGACAGTTATGAGGAGGTTTTAATAATATGGAAGTACTTGTTTTGACTACAATAAGATCGCAGGTATAGTCACATGCTACACCTCAGATGTGAGGGTGGGGGTGGAAAGGGGGTTCCATTTTTCCTCTGGTAGCTGCTCCTCACTCCCTTTTGAGCTTTTTACCCACTGGATTGGAGTGGGGAGGAGCCAAGGGGGGAGAGATTGAAGATTAATGTAGTCCAATCCAGTTTTTAAAACCTCATCTGATGAATAGTTTAGCAATCACTTTAGGCAACTCAGTTTTCTTGAAATATACAGTCAGGCTAGTAGATCCTCTCCCCTTCCCTTCTCTTCTCCGAGGTGATATCGGCATGCATTGGGGGTTGGGAGCAGGAGAGGCGGGGAGAGACTCTCCTTGCCTCACCAGATCCATTGGAAATTTTGTATTCCTGTATTCCCCTCACCTGTGATCTCTTAGTTCTGACCCTAGGCATCTGCCTGTCCCCCAGCGTTCTCAGAGGCTCCAAATTACTCAACTAGGACAAGCAGGAACCAAAAATATTGCCCTAGCTGGTGGTAGGAGGAACAAGGACCTTGTTGCTCAACCTCCTGGAACCACACCTCTCTCGTCTTCCCTCTGCCTTCTCATCAAGCACTGGGACCGAGATAAGATTTTCCCTCCTTCCTATAGTGATACCCACCTTCACCCTTTCCCTAAAATTATAATGGACAGAATGTTAGGAGAAAACAGTTTACTGATAAAGAAGCATATGTCGGAAAGTACTCCCCAAATATTACCCATTTTATAATGTAAAAAACGAGGCGCAAAATGTGTATACCTATCATCAGAAATTATGTAATATGTATACAGAGAACTCTGGAATTATATATGTCAAATTTTAAATGCATTTTATTTTTAAGCCACATGAACAAAGTGTTATTACAGAGTTGTTTTCATAACCACAAGTCAGAACTTGACTTGGAAAATAACTCGGCTTCTCGCAAGATTAACTTATCACTCATCTTTCACATGAGCTTTGCTCAATCCTTATGAGACCATTGCCTAAGAAACAGTAAGCCAACTGGAAGGCAAAACTCAGGGGGGATACAGAAAGCATACTTCCTCCAGCTCTAACAAAGGCACCTGCAAAAATACACTATCCATTTTCACTTGTCATAACAATTTTAAAACTAAAATAGCAGAAAGTTATAGTTGTTGTTAATGCTGATAAGCCAAGGGAAGAGGATATCATGTTTTGCTTTCTTTTGTAGGTCACCAGACTACTCTAAAAAGCAAGTATACAAAACTGTTGTTAAAAACTTCCATCATCAGCAAAATAAAAAGGTAAACTCATACTTTTATATGTTGGTTTTAATTATTGCATTTTGAAGGAAATTTAAAACATTCCTGGGCCTGAATCTTGTTTTAAATAGAAATAAAAGCATTTTCCCCTCATTTGCCAGGCTTTTTAATTTAGTGTTTTAAGGGGAGAAAAGAGGCATTTCCTGGTACGAAAAGAGTGGAGACGGAAGACTGGTAATAATTGAAATGTGTAGACAAAAAAATACAATAACAAAAACAATCCAAGTATTTTGTAACATTCGTAACCTTTTCTTAGAAAAATATACATGTGATTTATCAAATGCATTTCAACAAGGTTGAAGTGTTCATAATGATAATTTATATTCCTGGAACTGAATCATTTTATGTATATTCTTAGAAAATATCTTTTTTTGATTTCAAATAATCAGCTAAAGCAAAAATATGTAGAAGAAACAATTTGTGAATGAGTAACTTCAAAAACTCCTAAAAGTTCACCCTCAGAAAAATGTCCCTTCCAGTCCTACATATCTCTTTTAAAATACTCATCCACTCATTCAACTTATTTTACTAATTTTGACAATGGGAAATAACTTATCTATAACCAAGTTAAATGTAGCCTATATTAAGCTTTTTCAAAATGACTCTTGGGAAAATATCTTGGACAATTTTTAGCCTACATTTACCTAGTTTCAAAAATTATATCTAGTCTCTGATGGCAAAAAGAATCAGCCAGTGTCCACTCTACTTTATGTCTATAGTGTTAGATGGAAACAAACACATCAGAGCTTGCACTTAAAACTAGTTTTTACAGTCAGTATATAATCAAGAAGGATATTGAGGCAATCACACCAAATGCTAATCTTAATATTATGTATACAAGTGTACAATGGGAGTAATGTGAGCTCATTTGAAACAAAGAAGACTGGACAGAAAAAGCTTAGACTTGAGTTGTAAAATGACAAAGGACATAGGATCTGATACTAACAAAATGCCCAGGATGAAGCAAACACCAACTAAATCCTGAAGTACCAAGTAGACTTAAGGACCACAATTCAAATGAAGCAGCAGCATGGAATGATGATGTCTGCTATGATTGGAAGGACACATGGTGACCCTAACTCACAAACTATTTGCGCCCTCTGCTTCAAGATCATTCAGCCTTAGAATCTAAATAGGTTTAAGAAGAGATGGAATACATTTCTAATAGATTAAAAAGTTAGGAATATTTTGGGGGGCATCTTCAACCTTTCAAAAAAGATATCCTAAATGGCAAGCATATTCTCTCATCCGCCAACAGAGGTAATTTTGGAATGTACTATCGATTTGACCTTAAATGGCATTTCCTCAGCTTGTGAAACGATTTCTCTTCCAGGTAACCAGGAAAAAAATTCTGAATTACTGACTCTAGGATATGAAGAATTTAACCATCAAGATTGGGAAGGAAATTAAAAACTGGAAATGTACAGATTATCATTGAATCTATCTCAAGAGAGACGGCTTGCTTTCTCAAGGAAAACTGTATTCACTCTGTCAAAATTCTGAAAACATAGGCAGGCATATTTGCTGGTCATCAGAAGCCAGGCATATAGTCAACATTGAGAACCAGACATAGTATGTTTCAAATAAGAGAATAATTGTGTACTTGATGACTGGTACATTCTGGAAAAAAAAAAAGTTATTTTTTTTTTTTTATCAAAACCAAAATACAATCAGTGAAACATATTTTAGTTATTCCTGGGTGATAATCTAAGTAATAGTAAACCAGGTTTGTTTTCAGCTGTCCTTAAAATATTGCTCAGAGATCATTTACAAGTGCAACTTACTGTTTTTTGAACAATATATTGGAAAGCAAAGTCCTTCATATGTTAGAATGTACATAAAAGTTGACTTAGGCAAGGAGATGCAGGTCTCTAAATGCATGGATGTATGTACTATGTAAACACTGGAGGGGGATATATTCTCCACACTTTAATATCACTCACACATACACACACACTCTCACTCTCTCTCTCTCTCTCTCTCTCTCTCTCAGTTCTTAGGCACATTAGTTTTATAAGAAATTAATACTTACACAGTAGATTATTTTGTTGCCAATAATTTCTGATTTGTTCCTTTAAAAGAAAGAGGAACTGAGATTCAGATATACATACCGTGGAAAATCTCACTTATTACTTTATAAAGCTATTTTAAAGGAAGACACTATACTGGGGAGAAAAAAGTGAAGTTATACTTTTCGACGGCCAATTCCTGTTTCCACCAAAACTAAACTATGTTTTCCTATAATGTAATAACTCCATTGAATACCTCTTTACACTAACTCTGGTATATGCATGGGTAGATTGGCATTGAGGCAGTCCAGTTTGGCCAGATTTTAATGTGCTGTTTAATGAAAAGTAAATTCCTCTGTATCTCTTTTGAATGTTCTACTATCAAATATATTTACTGCAAAACCTAAATTTCAATAAAATATAAGCATAATATATTCCTCCATTTATAATATAATGGGTCTGTGTTTTAGTAGATATTCCCTGGATTTGCTTTATGGAGTCTGATGATTTTAAACATGCCGCCAAAAGACAGCAAAATATTAAACACTGACGTTAACATATTAGCAGTAAACCTCAAAAACAAAAACATTTCCAAATAATAGAGGCAATCTTTGGGGAAGTAACAGTCCCCCCGGTTATAAACCCTCGAAAACTCATTCATATTGGTGTCACAAATGCATAAATTTAAGCCCTATTTTCACCCCAATCCTCCCCAAAACTGAGGAGCTATGATATTTGACAAGAACTTCAAATTGTGATATGATGACAAAGTGCCACAAAGGAAAGAATGGTGACAAGAGATGTATCTACTCACTTCCATGTCCCTGGAGCTTCCCAGAGGAAAACATGCTTGTTAGATGCATGATAAGGTGACCAAAAGCACTTGAAAAAAAAACTCCATCAAGAGAGAAAACGAAAACCTAACACCATCACCTCTCGTAACATGCCCTCCACCTTCTACATTTCAGTTGTGTTCTAACTGCTGCAGAGAAGGTAGTTTTAAAAATAGGTAAACACTTCATTTTCTGTGGGGAAGGTCTCTTTTGAAGTACCTGTCTCTCACTCTTTGGATCACCCACTTTTTAGATTGGTCTTTTCCAACCAGCCAAAGAAGAGCTGCTGAGGTAAGACAGCCCGCGTTTCTCTGCACTCTCAGATGACGCACCTGGATCATGGTAGGTTCCAGACGAGAGGTATGAAATAGACCATCTGTATTTGAAGTCTTAGAGTGAAGGACTCTTCTTTGGGTCCCAGTTTTTAAATTCTGTGTCATCTCACAGATTGGTAAGGGCCTGGGAAAAGGCAGCCAACATTTAGTTTTTCTCTAATCTAGGGAAAATGAGTAGTTGCGGCTCACATACAGTCCTGCTTATTCTGTGGATGGAAAACCCTCAGGAGTTTGGAGCCTGGAGCCAAAGCTCAAGGACGTTTCAATTACCTGAGTTCCTTGCCTTTTCCTACAGCCACCTAGCACAGGGTTTCCAGCTCCAGTGACTGGACAAAGCTTCAGATTCCCCAGCTTCTCCGACTTATTCTACTGGAGACATCAGGCAACAAGTGCAACATTTACAACAACTTTTTAAAATTTATAACACCCTGTAACCGTACTGAAAGCACGAGATGCAAGAGGAAGTTCTACGTAGAAAGCATTTATTTTTATTTCCAGTACATCAGTATTTTAGGAAAGTATCAGGTATACATTTTTAAGGAAATGAGAAAAATTAAGTAACACTTGCAATTAGATGAACAAAAGTGAAAAGAAAATGGCCAATTAATAAACCTATTTGAGGTTTGAAGGTGAGATTTTGCATAGGTACAAATTAGGATTAAAGATTCTCTTTTTGATCTGTATTTTTCCCTGATTATCTCTTGAAAATCTTCTTTACAAAGTGTGACAATCAATCTTAATTCACATATTAAGTCAGTGATGGGGGAGGAAGAATACATTTATTTGAATTAAACTTATATTCAAAGATCTGGTCCTGGCACAGGTAGACTCTACCTGAGACTGTCTCCACCTGACCCCTCCAGGATGCTTCAGCACAGAATGTCTGCTCATTGCTGCTCTCTCTACAGTGGCAGTGCCATTTCTATGTGCTAAGAATTTATATACCAGATCTATTTTGATCCAAGTTTTAATAACCATAGGTTCTGCTCTTACATTACATACAATTCATTCTAAAATTTAGCGAGGATCTAGGAGTGCTTTGTCACCTAATATATCAGTGCTTTTCAACTGGGGAGGTTGGGGTGTCGTCTTCAGGGGCACACCCCTTTTCTCTTCCACCACTTCTCTTTCCTTATTGTTACAACCGTTCCCCCAACTTGTCCTTATTCTCATTTTTAGGTATCCTTTACCATCTTCTCTCGTTAATTTATCTTCTGTGAGAGATGAAAATTCTCAATACCTCTCATTTCTGGTAATGATAAACAACGAAAACCTGTCACACCTTCCGAAGATGTAAAATGACAGATGAGCAGCCCTTTGTAACTGCTCCAGGGGCTACTCAAAAAAGTTTGCTTGTTTTAATTCTTTTTACTTCACGCGATTGGAGCAAAGGCATTTATATTTCTTTTATGGTCTAGAACTAAATTACTTGACCTCTCTGGATCTATTACCGCTTCTGTAAAAGAAACTAGGTCTATCACTAACATTGTATTAATTGACTGATTCATTCAATACATATTTATCCTACTGATTCAAGTACTCTTAAGATATTTAGGTAAAAAAAAAAAAAAGAAAAAATCTATGTATTTGGATCCCCTGAGAACCATAGTATAACCTGTGAATAAAAATATCTTTTAAAAAATCCAATTAATAAAGCTCTACAAACAATAAAGCCTCATTATTATTCTTCCATGTGAGTTTCTGTTCTCTAAGCTTCTGCAAATACCCCCTATTTTCCACTTCAGATGACTTCTTGGTTGCTTGCAAAATAAAAGGGTTCACTGTGTTACTGAAAAGAATGACCTATAAGAAGTCTTTATAGGAAGCAGAATTCGAGTTATACTTCAATGTCTTTTGTGTGGGCTTGTGCTCCTACATGCATTATCTCTTCCTCATATAATTCTTTGAGAGGGTGCCACCTACTCAACTTTACAGTAAAACACACTGTTCTTTTGACATATGTGTATTACAGAAACTTTCAGTGCATACCCACAGCTCATAATACATATCTCAAATGTGTTAGTGGAATAAGGAATTATAATTGAATTGAATGTGAAAGTATTTTTTGTTCTCATTTTTAATAGTTTATGTATGTCTACCTTTGCAAAGCATCCCCTAAAGAAGGAATTGGTACTGAGACAAGCATTAAGAGATTAGCTGGTTTAAACTTCTAATTTTAAATCTCAATAAAAATGATTAAAATATGAATTTACTTTTGATTCCTACCATTTTTACCTAGTGCTTGTGGGTTTGGAATCATTGTAAAGCACCTACATCAACATCTTTTAGAACACTAATTTTGCTATTTCCATTAAAGGCTGACAGGGTTCTAAATTTCTCTAGCAAAGGGGCTTCTGTGTGTATGTGCATCTATTGCATGTAGGTAGGTTACTGTAAGTCTATCTGAATTGGGGCAGTTCTCCTGGTAGTCAAAGTTAACTCAGGAGACTACTTTAAAATAAGTTCTAGGACAGCTGTGTGACATAATTAGCAAAAAAAAAAAAGGCTTAAGACTATAATTTTACTAGCTATTAAAGTAAAAAAACTGAAGATTTGTAATAGCGCTTTTCTGTGATACATTTCTTACAATTTCTTCAGAATATTAAGTTCTCTCATTATAATACTTTTAAGCTATTTGATTAGTTTTCCATCTAGTGCCTATATGTATCTAGAAAATACATAAAACTGTTTCTGAAAACAGTACTAAACAGGACTATTTGGTTACTGAATTTTCTTCAAGGGCTTTACCTGTTACTAGTTAAGAAACAATATTTTTTTCACTACCCTATACAAATAAAAACACCAATTAAATGTGAGTGATGCGAAGAGAGAGAACAGGTCATTTATTTTCAGTAATCAGACATTCTGTCACCAGTCATGGAGACCAAATGACTCAACGGTTGGTGAGCCTATGAAAAGATAATCATTTTCACATTCTCAGTAGCACAGACAGGACCATTTAATTTCTTTAACAGAAGACAATCATTTGCACAGTATCATAATAAATAAATATTTCTGTATTAAGACATACATTATGAGAAGCAATTCTGAAAACAGTTGTCTGTGGCTCACAAGCACTAATCTTAATCAGCTAGGAACTATTTTCCTAATTGAGATACTCTTTCTAGGGGGAAAAAAAAATCAATGAAAATTCATTTCAAAGGTTAGTGTCTTTAAAAATTAGAAAAAAAAAAAAAGAGTACAGAGAATAATTTTATTTTCTAATTTTATTC